ACAGAAAAAAAATAAAAAGACGAATGCATGGCTGCATTAAATATACATAATTTTGTAACCCAGTAGATAATTTTATGAGTTAAAGCCCTTTCGAAAGGCCTTCCTGAGAGTCAAGAGGCATTCTACTCTGCATTCCTTTCTCCTTTCTTTTTTGTATGGACTGTCATCAATTGAAGGGCTTCTTCTTTCGTACCCATGGAAGGCCTTCCAGAAGGGCTTTTTAAGGACGTACTTCAGAAAGCTTTTTGGAGGAGTTCATTGAGTTTCGAAATGTATTTAGGGGTTAGAAGCAAATCCTGAGGTGATGAAGGAAAACGCACTTCAGATTCGTGTTCAGCGACACCACAAACCTATAAAACAACTGGTATTTTTTTGTGGTCCTGCGTAATTGATTAAGATTTGAAAATGTTCGCCTTGATAACTAGCTTAAACTTTGTACAGTTGTGCCAGTGGAAAAATTGATTTTTTTTAGCTTCCTTTCAGATGCTAAATTTCGAATACTCATAACTCTGGTTCTATTTACGGTTGCCAGACGTGCTGATTTTATCAGTAAAGTACTGATTTTTCAACTCTTGTACTGATTTTATTTATTTATTCAATCAGTGCGCTAATGTCCTGATTTTTCAAAATTTGTACTGAATTTTCAAACTAAATACTTTACGATTTTCTTAAGGTTTTTACATAACGTTGGAACTTCCGTAAACTGTACAGTAAAAAGTAAGACGAAAATAGTTTAATTATAGTCGACAGTTGACATGTTTCAGATAATGTTTGATATGTCCAAGAAATTAATACAACAAAATGATCAATCCTTTTATGGGCATATCGCCGCATTCCAGTTGCAATAATATGATGGAGCTTAAATTATTTAAAAGTATGGCTGACGTTTGTTTGTCGATTGTTGTTAGTTATCTCGAAAATATGGCTTTTGCCTATAACTTACAATTCTTTTATTACAATTTACTGACCTTGTAAAAGAGTTTTGCATACAAGACACAAAGTTAGATACTCTTTTCAGCTAATTCTTAGTCTTTCAAAGTTTTTGCGTAGTTGAAAAAATGAATTTAAGCCATGAGGAAATATAAATGAAGTCCTTAAATAGTGGAACTTTTCCACAGTTTGAAATATGTAATTATTTTTTATTTTTTTTGTAATACCACACTCAAACGAAGCAACTGAGAGTATAAAATTTGCTTCCCGGCGCAAAGAGAGAAACCGGCTTCTAATAAAATTGTTTAAAGTAAAATTCAAATTAAAAATAGTTTTAAAATGAAATGTATAGAATTCCTCGACTATTTAAAGACTGAAGATGGAAATGATCTCATTAGTGCTATTCAACAATGTCATAAATATAAAATAATGTATTGACTTCGGTGTATAATGATGTGCACACTCATGTTAAAATGAATGACACTTTTATTTTTTATAAACTATGTTTTATTTATATACCAAAATATTGTTAAAAACAAGAACTCAAGCGTTTTAAATTATTTTCTGTTACTTAAATTCATAATTTTGCTTTGAATAAAAATGTACTGAAAAGTACTGATTTTTTTAGCATGAAAAAGTCTAACGTACTGATTTCCCGCATAAAAAATCTGGCAACCCTAGATCTATTAGAGGCACACATTCAGCTCTGGTGTAATTTTCAAGACCATGTTATATAGAATATATCGTCCCGTTTCTGCCTTAACCTCGTATCTGCAATAGAGGTATTTTAGAGAGTGTAAGAAAAAATGCATAATTTCTTCCCCTAGGATACAATAAACGCATTTTTTACTTAATATTTCTGGTTCCACTAACAGTAGTGAACACCCTCATTAAGTCTTTGTTCTATTTTCAAATAGTGAGAAGATTAAACAGCTGTTATAAGTGGTAATCAGCCCCATTGCGTAAGTCGTAAATTAGGCTAAATTATACGAGTCGACAACAGTAGCATTGTCTATTGTCGTACTGAAAAAAGTAAACGACCAAAATCGTCGAAAATTGTACAGTGCTGCCAAGTTTTTCCGTTTTAATTCACTAGTCGAGTGGAAATTTTAGGCAATGACGTGAAATTTTCGATACGATTCGACTCTCGAAAAACGACTTGCATTCGACACGACTCTCGCAATGAGGGTGAATATTAGTTTTCCAAAAAATTTTAGATACGTTGATAAGGCAGAAACGGGGCGATATTACTTTAACGACATTTTGAAATATCAAACGATAAAAAAGTTACGCGGAAAAACAGGAAAACTAAGTTAAATTTGAATAATCCAGAATCACTATATATTTTAGCTAGTTTTGGGATTACAGCGAGCGGGTATTGTTTTAGATCGGATAAAACACTACAGTAGCTTTTATTATGATATATTTTCTTCTGAAAAATAACCAACAAATATGGCGATGTTTACCATATACCTACGAAACTATGCATAATCACCAAAATCAAAAGTTCCTGATTGTGCAATAAAATAGGTCGAATTTAAAAGATGAAACTTTAAAGACTTTATCATTTCTTCCGAAATATTATTAAAAAAGTGAACCTAATTAAAAGTAAATAGGTAGACTTTCTAAATCAAATCGCCTTTTTTATATATCAGTTATAAATATAACCGGTTAGAGGAAATATATTTTTTTTTAAGTCCCGCAAATCCGCGGATCCGCGGGATTGATGACCTCGATCCCGCAAACTTGCGGGATTGCGATTTTTATGCGGGATTGGATTTCCTAGTTGTGCATTTTCTTCCATATAAAAATAGATTTTGTTCATGCCTTATATGGAAACAAATGCGCAACACCCTCGACAAAAAAAAAATTCTAAAAAATCAACGGTATTTTTTAGCTACAAACAAAGTTTCACGCAAGTTCTTCTATACAAATTATATTCGACAATTATTTTTTGTATGGAGAAAATGAGCAACACCTTCCACTAAAAAAATTGCCAAAAATCAACGCGATTTTCTAGCAACCTTTAAGTTGCATTTTGTCATGGACTATAAAACTGCATACTTAGAATTTTTATAAAAAATCTGAATAAAAAGTTGCACATTAGTGTGCAAATTTAATGAATTTTCCCGAGTTTTGCACAAAGTTTAGAGATTTTATTTTTATGTTTTTTGGTGTAAAATGAACTATATTTTTATAAAAAAAATTATCGCAAATAAATTCGCATAAAAAACTTTGCACATATTGCGAAAAATTCACTGTGCCAATACTTTTGTTCGTCACTCTATGTACATACATACTTATTTCTAAAGGGTATTTTTTCTGTTACCAAACGATATCTCCTTTAATGTTTTATCAAATTTAATGAATGATACCTCATTTTGAAGGGGAGAAGCTCACGTACATGCGAAAAATAGTCACGATGTTTAAATTTAGTTATTTATTAAAAAGGGCGGTTTTAAAAAGCTGAAAGCACTATATCCGGTCAATAAAGCGCCATAATACTTCATCAAATTGAATGATTGAAACACCATTTTGAAGGAAAGCTTCACTGCTTGAGGTGAAAATAAAAACTTTTGATAGGGGCGCCACCCGCTTAAAATTTTCGGGACTTAAATACATATCTACCGACTAAAATATTACAATGCTTTCAGGGAATGAAAGGCTCTCTTAACTCTTAACCAGAAGTAATGATTTTGAAGAGGGTTGCCAACTATTTTAAAATTTATATCTATTTCTCTATATATGTATGTATGTATATAAAACTATGTTGGGGAAAACGTATGACCGCCCATAACTCGAGAACGGATTGTTCGATTTAAGTAGACTTTAATTAGTTGTGTTTGTCTTTGCCCAAGGAAAAATTTTGCGGACAGAAAACCCCGATAGGTGACATTCATGGC